TGCTGGTTGATGAGAAGCTCAACATGACGTGGTAATGTGTGCTGGCGGCCCAGAAAGCCAACCGTATCCTGGGCTGCATCCAAAGCAGTGTGACCAGCAGGTCGAGGGAGGGGATTCTCCCCCTCTGCTCTGCTCAGACCCCCCCTGCAGTACTGCCTTCAGGTCTGGGGCCCCCAATACCAGAAGGCCATGGACCTGTGGAAGCAAGTCCAGAGGAGGCCACGAAGATGATCAGAGGGCTGGAGCACCTCTCCTATGAAGGCAGGCTGAGAGAGTTGGGGTTGTTCAGCCTGGAGAAGAGAAGGCTTTGAGGAGACCTTAGAGCAGCCTTCCAGTACCTAAAGGGGCCTACAAGAAAGCTGGGGAGGGACTTTTTACAAGGGCAGGTAGTGATAGGACAAGGGGCAATGGCTTTAAACTGGGAGAGGGAAGATTTAGATTAGATGTAAGGAAGAAATTCTTCAGTGTGAGGGTGGTGAGGCACTGGCACAGGTTGCCCAGAGAAGCTGTGGATGCCCCATCCCTGGAAGTGTTCAAGGCCAGGTTGGATGGGGCTGTGAGCGACCTGGTCTGGTGGAAGGTGTCCCTGCCCATGGCAGCGGGGTTGGAACGAGGTGATCTTTAAGGTCCTTTCCAACCAAACCATTCTATGATACTATATACCAAGTACTTTTGGTATTGGTAAAAGTGCTAATAAAGCAAGTGGTTATTTTTATCACACTGAAACAAGTTGCAAAGTCTGATAAAAAGCATTCTTGACCATATCAACAACACACCAGAATTCACTTCCTGCCATTTGGCATGCAGACTAGCACAATTGCATGCAGATGTAGAGCACTTACAGAAGCCACAATTGGGAATGCACTTTAAAGTGTCATTTAGGTCTTGGCAGTAAATGTAGACCCTCTTTCTCTAGCTTTTCCACCCCTGAAAATCCTACTATGCAGCACTTGATTTTCCACTGGCACTGGGGACCAAAGGAGGAAAGGAAGTGATCCTTGAAAAAGTATGTCTAAAACTTTTAACTATAGGTTGAGGGGCTTTTAAAATCAACCATATTGGAAAACAGGCCTGTTATTGTAGAAGGTGTTGCTAGGAAACCAATGAAACAAACAAACAAAAACCTAGTCCTGAGAAAAGGCCAGCTTTCATGAAACCCCTTTGGGAGCAAAAATGGGCAAGATTTCTTCTTGTTTTCCCATAGTGAGGATGATATTTGGCAAATGAAGCAGCTACTGATAACAAATGAAATACAGGATTGTATACTGTCAAACTTGGACATAAATGGAAGTAGTTCTTGCAATGGTAATCCTTCATCCCTGTTTATAAATTCTAACATTGTCTTCTATTTCAAACTGTGATTTAGCATATGTTATACTAGGACTTCATATAGGATACATATTCTGTAGCAGTTAGTAACATATCCGGAGAAAATAATTTTATATGCATATAACAACTCAAGCTTAATTTTGTTATTTCATGATTTTACTGTGAGAAGGTTCTGTGTTGAGGGAAATACAAAACATAACTAAGTTTATGTGATATTTTGCTGAATATTGGTTTAGGGTTTATTTTTTTCTTCTGTAATCACATAATGCTATATCATACACATGCTGCTGCTATATGTGATGGGAGTAGTATAGCTAATCTGCTTATTAATAGCATGTTACTAAACAGTGAAAATGTTACTGAAAAAGGGAAAAAAAACAACCTTCACAGAGCCTGTCTTACTTTGTGCTTGCAGAAGCCTTGTCACTCCAGCTTTGTACTGCTGTTGAATAATTCCAGAATATTTAGCACTGAAACATAGACCTTGTGTAATATCTAAACCTTGTATAATACCTCAGTTATTCCAAAAACTGGGGTGTTCTTGAAATGTGGTTTTGTTCAGGTCCTGGCACAGCCACTTGGACTTGTATTCAAAATTGCTGCATTAGCTGAATTCCCAGACCCTGACCTGCTTGAGGTTGATGCCTGGAGGGAAGTTTTCAGTGTGCCTTTTCTCAGAAAGGAAAAAAAACAAAACAAAACAGAAAAATGTCTCAAATTCTCTGTTGCTGGACACTAATACTGGCAGGACAGTAAGAAAATGGGAGTAATACTGTTACTCCAGATATGAACAGGAGGGAAAGCTATAAACAGGAAAATGTATTTTTTCTACTGTACCAGAATTCTTGGAGTGGGTACAAAATATACTTTATTCCTTGAACACAGCAAGATTAAAATGTGCAGTATTCTTTATCATAAGCTAAAAAAGCAGTATCACTCATCATTTAGTAAAATACCTCTCATAAGTGTTCTTTAAAAAGAAAGAACTGAAGGGCTTTGGTCATTTGTAGCATGGGATTTCAAAAGTTTTTTGCCCTTTATACTATGAGTCATGTGAAAAGAATGTCTCAACCTAAAAAAAAAAATTCAATGGGCAATACACTTTATATTTAAATTTACTATTTCAAAATAGCTAGAGAAATAACATTGAATGAACTGAGAGTTTTTCAGGATTTGAAAAAAATCTTTTGTAAAATCAGAGAAATAGTAAGCAAAACAAAATTAAATGGCTCCTTACAGGCTCACTTCTTTTAATTATATGTAAAGAAATGCTATTTTATATGCTCTGTTTTAAACTTACAGGACTAAAATCTTAACAACTTTTATATTTCTGACTGAACACTAAAGCTTCTGTAATTTGCCCTAAAAAGAACAACAACAGAAGCCCCTGAACACTACATTTCAGAGTTAAAAACTGACCTTGCCTCTTCCAGCCATGTCACTTAGATGAGGAAATTAAGGAAAGGCAAAGGCAAACAGCAAGAGTCATACATTGTTAAGGAAACTAACTGAAATTCTTCAAATCAAATCTCCAAGCATTAAATAGTAGACTAGCAGGATATGCAAGAAGGAACATAAAATAACATAACCGCAGCTCCAGAAAGAGGGAAAGCTGCCAAAAAGGATGCTTTTTTTTTTTCTTTTGCTGTTTTTCTGCTTTGAGATTCATGGGGACGTATTTGTTCCCTGTTTAGAACCTAAACGAACATGTTTTGCATGAGGGAACTGTCATGGTGTTGGGATAATGATGTTCCAGTTCACAGTGCAGCAGAATCGCTCCACAATCATTAACACTTTCTGTGGGACTGGTGGTACCAGCTCAATTTTTGTTTGTAATTAAAGTATGCCATGAACAAGCCTGCCCAGGCATGGTTCAGCCAGTCCTGTGCCTATCCTCAAATCCTTCCTTTGCAGCATGGTAAAGTGAGGAATGCTAGCTTTTCATGAATATATCAGCCTGGCTTTCTTCTTTCTGATTCTTTGTGCAATGAAAGTTTGGCATCTGGGGCTTTCTCCAGCCATCAGATTTGGTCCTTTCTCCAGAACAACCAAAAAAGAGCTGCTGTGTGCTACTGTTGATGTTTGAGCTACGTAAAACATAGGTGAAACCTGCAATAAAAGAACACAAAAAAAGTTCCCACTCCCTTGGATACCACATATGTAATTGTATACGTAATAGTTACTTGGCCTTTTATGCATAATAATATTAGTTAAGAAATTTATACATCAATTAGGAGATGGGAAGTTAAACTAGGAAAAAATGCTAAGGTAAACTTGCTACGTATACTGAAGTCAGTAATGTAGTCTACCTGCTTTGAATATTTTTCCTACCATGCAGTGTGCATGGTGATATGCAAGAATACATTCATATACCTGTGCATGAATTTTAGAAGTCAGTAGTCTTTAAACATGATATGGACTTAAGAGTACCTCAATCCACAAATACGCTGAAATGAAATGGATTGTAAATCTTGCATTTTTTTTTTGTCCACAGGGTAAAACATCAAGTGGAATACTTAGGTCTGAAAGAAAATATTCGTGTAAGAAGAGCTGGCTATGCCTACAGACGGGTTTTCAAGAAGTTTTTGCAGAGGTAGGGTAATACTTATTGAGAAGTGTTACAGCACAGTTGTTTATATGACAAGGAAGAAAACAAGAAGTTGCACGTTTTGAAAGCTTCTCATTTCCCACTTACCCTTTCCTTTTTCCCCATTTACCTTGCTCACAGTCTAGGTTACGGAGAGATTTGAGTGTCCTAAAGAGTTGGCTTTGTGTCTTTTAAAGCTTTTTTCATTTTTCTGTAAACTTCCCTAAAACCTCAGTTCTTTTTGTAGTGCTATGAGAGGGTTCCTCAAAGTTAAGAAGAGTTAAGGGAACTTAGAGTTATGAGCATCAGAGCCTGGAATCTGAGTGTCTAGCTGCTAGCCTTTGTTTGAAATGTTGCAGCTCTAGGTCTCCCAACTCTTCTTTCCCAATGACAGAAGACAGGTAAAGAAATACACGCCTGCCATTCAACCATTTCACTGTAGAGAGTAACCTTAGCTTAAATTGCTTGTTACATCCTTCTACTGGTGTTCAAACAGCTGGGAGTGGTTACAACTCAAACCACTGCAGCTGTTCACTGAATGAAAGCAAGTCAGAGCTCTGTGAGACCAATCCTTTTTTCACTGTCTTAGGACCAGCTGTTAAGATGATTAACTACCTCCACTAGCTCATGAAATCCTCTTAAATAAGAGCAATTTCAAGATTTATACAACATTCAGCTCCTGTTTTTTAGAAAACTGAGACATAGAGCTAATAAATGCCCAAACTGGAGTGGCGTATAATTGAGCAGACAGCGCAGAACAAAGCCACTGGTAATGCTTCATGGTAATACAGAGAATGTTCTAATCATCTGGTAATAGACAGACCTAAAATATCTGAAAGTATAGACTCAATTTTCATTATGGAACAATTTTAAATCCCTTTTTCTTCATGATCTTCAAGCCCAGACATGTAAATGTGAGTATGCTTCAGGTTGCATTACTTACACAGGCTGTTCCCGAGACAGAATAACAGATTAATAATGTGTATTAAATCTAGCCTCCACAGTTGTTGAATACTGATTGTGAGGGCTGTGCAGGTCTGGAAATCTGCCTGATAGGTCTGCACAAAGGAAACCTGCATGGTACTTCTGGAAGGTGAATAGATTTCTATACTTCACTTTACATGTAGAGATCCACAAGCAACTGAAACCATTCTTTATGGAATTCATCCATTTGTTTCAAATTAGCCTTGTTACATTTAACATTTTGTAATGAGTAAAACTCTTCCTGCAACCTTTCCATTCACAGTTCCGTAGCATCCAGAACAAGCTCTGTTCTGACACCCTGAGTCAGTGTGAGTAAAAGTGGGCTGAGGCATGGGATGGACAGGAAATGCATGCTTGTACACTTGTTTTCATTGGGCGTTCCTTGGCAGCTCCATGTAAGTGGAGATTTCTGGGCTGAATAGACTTTTATGTACAAAATTTACATTTGCATGCAAAAAGCCACAGTCACTGAAAAGGCCTATGTGTTTCAAAGCATAACCAATGTGAAAGCTGAACACCATACTCCTATGTTTAGGCATAGGACCTAACTGCTTACTGTGAATTTATAATAGATCATTTTTTGGGGGCAGTCATGATTTGAAATTGTTTCAGAAACATTTTAAGAACACATTTAGTACTTGTGCTGAAATCCTCTGTAAGATCAAATTACACAAGCTTGAAAAACCTAGATACATGGATAGTGACATGACCAGTTTAATGGGAAACACGCACAAGTACGTTAGAGGAAAGTACCATTTCTAAACAGCAGTGAACAATGATAGAATTGTCATGTCACAAAATTGTGAAATGCTCAGTTGGTGCATGTTATAGAATGATCTGTTTCTTCTGCCCTGTAGACTTGTCACACCAGTAAAATGTACAAAGTTAATCTGAGTTTATGAAAAATGAGAATTTCAAATCTATTCTTATTTTGTACCCAAGAGCTTTACTTATATTAAAACATCTAAAGTCCTGTTTTTCCCTGTGCCCTTCTTTACAGCTCAGAAGATGTAGGAAAGAATTTATAAGATGCTGAAATGTAGTGTCAAATTCTGTTGTGTGGAAGGTCACAGCTTCAAATGCCTTTATTGACATCAGCTCCTTTAAATTCAGACTTGCTTAGACCCATGCATACAACTATAGTGTTGGCAGTACATGATGAACCTGTAAAAGGGGCTGTTAATTAGATAAGCTGGGAATTACTTTAAACTTATAACTGAAATGTAGTGTCAAATTCTGTTGTGTGGAAGGTCACAGCTTCAAATGCCTTTATTGACATCAGCTCCTTTAAATTCAGACTTGCTTAGACCCATGCATACAACTATAGTGTTGGCAGTACATGATGAACCTGTAAAAGGGGCTGTTAGATAAGCTGGGAATTACTTTAACTTATAACTCCTTACTAGGTTGCATCTATTTATCCCATAATACTGATAAATTACATAAATATAGAAGTGTACACATTGTCTGTAAACATAGATTATGTATAATATACTTCTATTTTTAAGATGGTATAAGAGCTGTTTTGTTACACCATCATGCATAGTACCTGAGCATTTGTTAACTAGTAATAAATTTGAATATAACATCAGTAGACCCTTTTGAATCCTACTGACTATTCGTAAGTTAGCTTTCTCTTTTCATATACTTGCTGTTCAAAGGTGTTTGGTTTTTGTGATATGTTCCTTTTTAACCGCTATTTTTCTTCGTGTGTTATTGTTATTTAAGTTGCATGACACTGTTTCTGCTTCCTGGCTGGGTAACATTTTAGATATGACAAGAATGAGTAATGAACATTCCCTTAATGAATTTTCTAATAATCCCTTGTGTGATTTTTGAGAACATTTTATTAGGAGCTATCTCAATCCTCTTAAGAAACAAGAACTTGGGAATTACAACAAACTGAACTCCGTACTTTATCACTTTTTTCATTACTTGAATAGTTTTACTAATAAGCATGATTTAGTTCATATAACTCAAGTACACTTAAGGCATTAAAAAAAATTGTCAAGAGTAAAGAACATAAAAGATTTGGGGGAGAGATTTGTCACAACATACTTAACTGTTCTCCCATCTCATTGTTAAACAAGTCTAAATAGCTGCTGCTAGAGAACTTACTTATCCCTAGACATGCTGAGGCAGCTAAAGCCCATCAGTGCTCCTTAGTGGGCAGTGGAACAAGGCAGCTTTGGAACTCCAGCCTGGCAGTTCCAAAAGCCCAAGTTAAGCCTGAAAGAGTGGACTGTTTAAAAGGGGCTGCAACCTGGCGTCCACCTCATTTTCAAGGCTTAAAGAGAATACTGTGAGACAGAAGACTACTCACCTCTTCCTATCAAAGACACATTATTATAGCACTTCCCTGCTGCCTTCCCTAGCCCTTTGTGTGGTCAGTTCACAGTTTGTGTGTGGAACAAGCTTTCCCTCTAGGTAGCACCAACACCACTGTATCTTCCCTCTTGCACCAGAGGCCAAGCCAAATGCTTTCTGGGATCAAGCCAAGAATGGCTCCTTGCTAAATGCAGACCAGCTGTTGAACAGGTGGGTAAGGAGCATGAGCTGGCCACTTGCTTAGAAACAGAAAAGGCCATTGTAAGAATAAGACAGACAGAGAAGGCTTGAGTGGGAAATTGGCCACGTGCTTAGGAATGAATCTAGAATACCAAGGATGTAGGTACTTAAATCTGGACCGTAAGTCATTGCTAGTAAATAACCTTGCCCTGGATTTAAGGAGATACAGCAGAACTTTCTGTAATTGACTGCTGCAGTTACCAAGTAGTAACTTAGCATCTGGAAATGGGAGACTCCTGGACACTGTTGTCCTTCTCATTGCAGTTGTTTGGTCTTGCTAAACAAGTAACATCTTAATACTGTGCATCTTTCCACACTCCCTGCTGAAATTGTCAACCCTCCCCCCAGGGTAATACTGACTAAGAGTCAGTGGAATTCTGCTGCTGCTGTTTGATGTCAGGTTTTAATCTCTTCTCCTTGGTGGTTAAGGTATGCCATTCTGACCAAAGCAACCTGGCCTTCCTGGAAAGGAGAAGAGAAACAAGGAGTTCTCCACCTGCTTCAGTCAGTCAACATGGATCCTGACCAATACCAGCTTGGGAAATCCAAAGTCTTCATCAAAGCCCCAGAGTCTGTAAGTGTGGCAGAACATGAGGCTTTAAATATGAAATTGTTTTGCTGAAATAAAAGGCCTGCCCACTCAGAAGTTGAGCATGGTACGTGCTAAGGTGGGAGAAGCATAAGAATGTAAGTCAAACTGGACAGGTCTGTCACAGGTGCCTCGAGGCTGTATGGGGATTCTAGGCACTTTTATAACAGACACAGTACATAAGGACCCTGCATGATTTTGACACTAATACAAGGAGCATTAAATGCATCAAGGAGGAGATGGGATATGAAGATGCTTTGGTGCCAGGCTGCACATTGTGACATTCCATCAGAGAATCTGTCATATGAAGGAATATCATGTCATGAAAACATATCTATGGCCATTGGCCCAAGAAAATAGGTCCTCTTCTCAGGACAAGAACAGCCCCCAGATACAGTAATGATATGTTACATGTCATTGAGTAAATCAATGTTCCAGAATGACTGCAACTTGAAATCGCATTCAAAAAGAACATTAGGGAGGCATCATAAGGCTGTTTTTATCATGTGGCTGCTAAACTGCAGAAAATCTGTTGGAAAAAAGTTTCTTGCATCACTGTTCAGGAGAGTTACCAAGGAAGAAAAACTATGCTCTACTCACCATCATATATGCCTTATTTATCAGAAGCAATCAGGCATAGTTTGTAGAGCATACCTTGCAGTTGAGCAGTAAGTGGTTTCTTGGTGCTTTACCTGAAGTTACATATCAAAATAAATGCAGAACAGTTTTGTTGCTATCATTTTCTTTTCCAGAAACATTTTTTGCTCTGTAGAGCAACAGTAATTCAGGCAATGACACTGCTGTGCCCAATCACATGGGAAGATATCTGTAAAGGGAAAAAGATACTACTTCTCCAAGTCATAATAGAAACCGTGTTGTTTCTACCATATAAGGGGTAAGATAGTATCATGTCTGTTCAGAAATAATGAGACTTTACACTCCTGCCATCTGAGAGACATGTTTATATAATAAAGCTTATAGTGTTCAAGATGTAGGTTATTAGAATACCGAGGTCCGTGTTGGCAGAGCAGGAAATTCTAGTACAGGATTAATCCCACTTAGTCATTGCAAGCAACACCTTAGCTAGCCAATTATGAGGAAGCGTGAGCTTTGTCTGCCTTCCTCTGTAGCACATGCCATGATTTATTTCCTAAGATTATTGGGGAGTTTTGTCTTCCAAAGTCGGTGCGACAGCCTTGGACATTAGCAGATATCTTTGAAATCTCTTCTTGTGATATTACAGCTGTGAATTTTAGTCCTTTACTGATGACATCAGGTTTATTATAGGGTGGTGGCAAGTACACATTCTGGTTAAGTATCTATTGAATTAATACAGACAACTTAGTTGCCTGTAATTACAAGGAACCAGAATTAGTAATTTAAGCAAAATCTTCCAGTCCTGTGTTCATTATCTTACACTGTAGCAAACCTGATTTTCTTGTTTTCACTGTGAAATTATTTTGCATCCATGCCGTTTGCAGTTAGTTACAAACCAAATACAATCTCAGTTTGGGAGATAAACAACTAAGGGAAGAAACTAAAATAATTTTTGCATGATGGTTGTTTTCTCAATGTTATGCTACTTTATGGATAAATAAATCCAAAATTTTAAAGTATTTTTTCAATTTTATGTAATAAATCATAAAAGGAAATAACTTCCTTTCCTGGCTGCTCAAATAACCTAAGCTTGGTATGTTTGCCCCTTGTAAGAGCACAGATTTTCAGCAGCCATATCTTCACAAATGGGGTGGGTCTTATTCCTGTTTGGGTTTCTTGTTTGTTTGTTTTTTCAAAGAAAGAAATGAAATAATTTGCTGGTGTCTGTCTTCTGTTTAATAGCCAAGTGGCAAGTGCTTACATAGGGTTGATGGATCTAGTTCCCCTTCACTCTGAAGTGGCCAAAACATTAATATTCTGTACCTCAACATCATATGCTATTAGATTGTTTCCAAGAGGACGAAATTGTTTTCCAATGGATGCATCTTCCCATTCTAATGCATTTTTGTGATACTAAGTCCTGGTTGCATGTATATGTCATTTAATGGCATATCTGTGAGTTTTACTGAAGGGCAATTCCTACAGGTTAGGGCAACATAGTAAAACTTTTTTGGGTTGCATTTTGATTTTAATTTAAATTAATGCTTTCAATTACTGTATACATTTTCTTTAAAATTTATCTTTTTTTAAAAGGATTAAATCAATTTTTAAACAAGTACTAAAAATAGTCTGGGCCTTTTTCATTTTAAGTTGAAAAATTTTCTGACCTGAATATTCTAAAGCTTGATTTATATCTTTCAGTATCAAAGACAATCGTCTCTTGTATTACTAAAATATTGGCTAGGGTTATATGACTTGAGAAAAATAATGTTTTAGATGGTAAATGAAAATTTTTCTTTCTACCATCAAAGACCACCTGTTGTCATTAATCAGATGAAAAATACTTGATTTGCTCAGGAGTGTCAGGGGAAGCTTTATAACACATATTTTAGGAAAGAATTTATACAGTATTTTTATAACTTATGAACTGTATTTTAACTCAATGTTTTCATTGAACTTCCTTAATTGTGACCTTCAGCTGCAGGTGATAGACTGTTTTGCATTGAGATTTTGCAATTAGCATTATTGTTAGAGAAATAAATGGTGAGTGTTCACAAGAGACAACATCAATATTGTTACTGTACCCTGAATTGCATAAGGGCTTAATCATGCCCCTGCTGAAGCTGAGAAAGTTTCTTGCATCCGGAGCACTCATGCCTGTGTGCTGAAACCCTATCTAGTGCTTGTGTGTTTGTGAAGAGGCTTTTTTTTTTTTTTTCAAAAAAGCTTGCTGTAGATGGAGAGGTGCCAACTGTGAAATAAGGTTTTATGGGTGGCAGAAAGGAGGCTTCACTATTTACATTTCCATCAAACACCTGAATAAACTCTGTGCAAGAGCAAGTGAGGTTCTGCGGAAATGGTCTGCACTAGATCAAGTTTCCTTTTTAAGATCAATATGAACAACAGTATTTTTCTAGATTTGCATGGTTTATGGCAGCAAATTAAAAAAGGGACCCTGAAGCCCAGGTTTGCTTCTTGATATACCTGTTTTTACTAATTTTATCTCTCTTGAAAGCAAGCAGAAAAGTCCTTACAAATATTTAACACAAAGTAGAGGGAAATAATAAGCAACAGTCATGTCAGTGGAGCGATTTAGTACTTTAATTGTTAGCCAAATGCTTGTGCTTCTGATGAGACAAGAAAACATTTAACTAAACTTAAAGTATGTACCAGTTGACAGTGAAATATGCTGTATCCTACAGTAATCATGAAGTTGTTCTAATGCATTAAATTTACATACATTTTAGTGGGGCCTGGAAAATTCTCAAAAAAAAGGGGATGCCCCTTCTATTTGTGTTCTGATAAATCAGCTTTTTCTCTTGAATTCTGACATTTTAAACCCAAAAATCTTTTGTCATACTGAAATACAAGATCATAGTTGTAAATCCTGCAGCCAGCTGACAAACTTCACTGCTGGGAAAGAATGGAGCCAATGGACAGGGGACTATGCAACTCAGACAGGGAAGAAAATTACATGTGAATACAGTAGGTTATGTTACACATTGCACAGATCCCCATAGACATGATAACATTCTGACAGGAGAAATATGAATTTTGGACAATGTGAAGATGGAAGCTGGATGCATGCCCAGTAGAGAACCTTGAGTTGCACCAATAGAATATTTCAGGGAGAATCCATGTTCCTCTCCGTTCATCATTGGGTATCAAAATTAATGGGTAGACTGGTAAGAGCCAGAACCACTCAAGCATCAGAGATTTCTTGCAGAAAAGGTTATGTTAACATTCCGATCTCAGATCCCATAGTTCTGGTAGAGGCACCAGCTTGGATCTAGAGTAGAACACACTGGAAAGTTGCTGAAAGTAAAATATAGCTTTTTCTTGAATTTTTCATTTAAAATGTTTGACACACCCTACTGTCTCTTTGTGCAGCTATTTCTGTTAGAAGAGATGAGAGAGAGGAAGTACGATGGGTATGCCAGGGCCATCCAGAAGGCATGGAGGAAGTATGTGGCCAGGAAGAAATACGTACAGATGAGAGAAGAAGGTAGGTCATAACTTCTGATGACAGATATTTCACACATGGTTCCAGGAACCAAAAGAGTGCCACAAGAGATGGAGGTATCTCCCTCTCCATAGAGCAAACCATTGCATTGCAGATGACTACCTCGGAATGACTGCAAATTGTTGGACCCCTAAGGTACCACTGATGAGGCTGGCTGCTCTGCATGCATAGATTTCTTGGAGTACCCAGTGTACTCTCAAAACAAAGCCAGACCAAGTAGGGCAGAGATCAGAGATATTCCAAGGGAAGTGAGAAAGGAAAAGCTTCCCACGGTTATACAGGACCTAAATGGTTTGTAGATGATACAAATCAATCCAAGGACTGTAATGTTTAATTGCATGTGTGACCTGGGTTATGTGAATGAATAATGTTCTGGGTTTGGAAGAGTTAGTCTTTAATTTCCAGCAACGAGTGAGAAATTCCTTAGTTCTAGAAGTGCTCCCAATTCATCATAACTGCTGAGCTTACCATCAGTGTATTTCATTAGGAATGGCTTTAATAATCACATGGATCCTTATATAAAGGATTAGTAGCAGTGCTTCACTATTTTTTCCATATTATAAACAATTTGGTTATCACTTCTTCCCAAAAAGTTTTGCTTGAAACGGTTAGCTCTTTCAGATCATGAGTTTAGAAAACGTAGTAAATACTATTAATCAATGTTTATTTTTGGTATTTAAGCATCAGATCTATTGCTGAACAAGAAAGAGAGAAGACGGAACAGCATTAACAGGAATTTTGTGGGAGATTACATAGGCATGGAGGACCATCCAGAGCTACGCCAGTTTGTGGGCAAACGGGAGAAGATTGATTTTGCAGACACCGTAACTAAATATGATAGACGGTTTAAGGTAGGTTCAAGAGCAACATCCACTAATGATTAGTTCTGCTAGGGAGTTAAAGATGTCTTTACCATCCTTTAACAGAAACGCCACCATGTTAGTGTCATATGATCTAGGATACAAGCTTGAAAAAAAACATGTCTTTGACTTAAAAGATACCTAGGGAAGCAGTTACACCCTTGTAATCAGAACATTGCCATTGTCAAAACTATTGTCTCCATAATGAAGGCTTTATGGGACTTGCTGGGCAGAAAGCTACATTAGTTAGGAAATGGGGAACAAAACTACTTTCCTGTGCTGTGTAATCTGACTCTGAGGTCATGTGACTAAGCCCATCAGTATTTTTTTCACTTGAACCAAAGACTAACAGTATTGCCCCAAATCAGAGTACATTATACATCTTTGGAACAGCATCACAACATTAATGCATTGATCTCCCCATAGCTATGTATTTTCAAACAATCTTGTGTTTCAGAGTGTGAAGCGAGATCTTGTCCTCACTCCAAAGTGCATATACCTGATAGGGCGTGAAAAGATAAAGCAGGGTCCAGAGAAAGGCCAAGTGAAAGAAGTCTTAAAGCGAAGAATGGAAGTGGAGAGAATTCTTTCCGTTTCTCTAAGGTCAGTACCTTGAAAATATCTTTCCATTGACAGAGAAATTTGTGTAGAATGGGGGTAAATAAGTCGACTGATGAAGGCTGAATTTCTTAAGCTGTATTAATTGAATCTTGTAAACAAAGGAAGCTGAAGCCTTATTTTCACTCACAGCCCTAGCAAGTGTGTTATAGCAATAGATGTTTATGTTATAGCCAGCCCACAAACATTTTCTGACAATTGTTAAAAGATTTCACTTACACTGGGTCTCACCTGTCTCATGTGTTCCCCAAAATGTATTCTGTGAAGCATATATTCACCATGTACAAGCACGTTCTAGTAAGTTTTGGCTCAAGCTTGTATCCCAGAAATAATTCTTACTTACAGAAGTACACCTTGTACCTGTCCACTGCTTCCTGAAGGGGTGTTCTCTGTCTGGTGAGCTACTAAAACCTTTATCTCTAATTGGATTTCACATCACTTCTGTTGACTGAATGTCAAGCTAATCGCAGATTGCAGGAAATATCTGAGGTGTCTGCCCAGAGCTAAGAACCCCAGTTAGGTAAGCAAAAACAGGAAAAAACTGCCCATGAGACCAGTGGATTCTTGCCTATATAATTTCATCCCTTCGAAGGTGAGTGAACAAAGTCTCTGTATACCTCTGCATTTGTTATTGCAGTTTATCAGAGCCGGTAGCTGAGTGTAATTTAATACAAAATAATACTGATCTAGGGCAACAAGTGTACTTTTAAATATTGAAATAACTTACTATTTTGACAGAATACAAGTCTACACTTTAGTACTGTGTATTGATAGCTACTGCAAAGGTTTTTTAGTATATGCTTATAAAATATTCCCATTAGCATAGCCAGAAATCTCACAGACATTATCCAGTACTTAAAACCAGCAGATTTCACATTTTTGCAGAACTCTTCACAGCCATTTCAAGACTAGGGAAAGGTCTGCAAGATGTGTCTGCTTACAGTACCATTTTTAAAACCTGTGGTTTATTTATCATACATCTTCTTACCGAAAGTTGCAACAAAATAATTGTAGTAGACAGAGATTAAAGATGAGAGTGGAACCTGTCTGTTCAGTGCTCCAAGTTTGGAGCATGTGCTGTGCAAAGCCCCAACAGATTGCAGGCAGGGACTTGAACTGGTCCTGTGGTGTTCCAAAGGCACAGCCACATTCAGTTGGCTGCAAGGACGGCTGCCTGACAACTGAGTGAGAGCTGTTACGCTCCTCTCGCATGTGAATAACAGTTCCACAGAACTGTCTGAAGCAAAACCAATGTGCTTAGCTCAGAAGAAATATGAATGTTACATTACAGCTAATGTTTTGAACTTAGCTTACTGATTTTGTTTTAAAAAACATCGGGGATTTGTGCATGCTAAAAGGAGATTCAGAATGACAAGTTGTCACAATGTCCTGGTATTCCTCCAAAACCAAACCCTAGAAAACCTATGGGGGCAAGAAGGCTTTTTCCTGTTATCATGTTAGTATGGCCTGAGTTCAAATGGGTCTTAATCAAGGGACCTCTTAACTCTGTATTCAGGTGGCTTAGTAGTAATACAATGCTCTGGCTGCAGAGGCTGTAAAAGTTACTGCTTCTCTCGAATCTTGTCTCAGTGACAAGAGTTAGCGCTTGTAGTATTTAAGTCTTCAGTTAGCAAAACTGGAGTGAAACCTTTATTTAGTACATGTATTACCTACCATGTATTTTGGGAAAAAAACAGAGAAACAAAAACCCCAAAGCAGTTCGTCAGGCTCAAAGCAAAAATTGTATTCACTCTAACATGCATTCTCTCATGCCTTTTCAAAACTCCAGTTTATTGTCCCTATAGTTTAAGTTTTCTACACATCTAAGATAATTGATTTCTGACTGGTTTTGAAGTGAATCTCAAACCCCTCTGTGGTGGAAGAAAATAATTGCAATAACATCCTTCATGAGCTTATCCAGAATGGATTTAGCTCTATTCCGTATTGCAGCCTCAAAGTTTTGTAAGCTTCTATTCTTGTGTTATTTTTCATGCAATATTAAATTTTAACTAAATCAACACAAAATATATTTAATTTTAAATGGAAGGCGGAGAGAGGCTAACTGGATTCTTGCATTGCTTTCTAAACAATCTGTCTCAAGAAACCCATGTGCAATATATTGTTGCAAGCTTGTATCAATACACTTACATACAATAAGGGCAGAGCAATCAGCACTATAGACATGTATTAACAGCAACTAACACTACATAACAACTTAAATTACTAAAGGAGTTGCAATTTAAAGTGCAAATGCCCAACTTGGAATTTGTTTAGGGTACTGAGAATGACAACCCGTACTCTCGTGGAAATGTTCTTGCGTTTTTAGTAATAATAAATAACTGAGCTTTATAATTCATCTGATAAGGAGTGACACAGGACATGCTAACGGCATTGTGAAGTCAGACTCTTTGCCGAATCAGCAAAAATAGGACCAATGACTGGATGATATTTACTGCAGGCCTTGGGCTTTTCTTATTGGTCTCATTCAGAACCTTGCCGAGGCTCTAGATTTGCTTGATGGAAAGGAGGTCATGCTCTTACTCTATTTTTATAGATTTTTTTATTGCTATGCTGAATACTAATAAGGTAAATTTGTAGTTTCATACACCATTTTCCAAATTATGGGAAAGATTTCAGAATGTGAAAGGAGATTATGGAGTGCACAGGTGGCAGGTAGATTTTTAGAAAAACAGGCAGTGGTACAACTCATCCTTCATCTAACATCTTAAGCAGGTTAGAATTGTATTTTCATACATGACAGTTAAGAGCACTTCTAGCAGCACTATGAAGCTATTTTTAATTGTGCATAAAAAGGTACTCACAGTCTGTAGAGAGAGTCATAGTCTTCAGTAACCAGATGAAAAGTGAGGGTCAGAAAGCTCCCCTCTTTCAGATTTATAGTCAGCAATCAGGCAAACCAGCTGGGAGAGGAAAAGGGAGGAGCATGCTCAAAGTGGAAAGCTGTTGATTGTTAGGTAATTAGGATCAGAAAACAGTGATGAGGGCAAATAAATCTAATTTTGTCTCTAATAGAAGGTGGAGGCTTTTTTTTTTCTGAGCTGAATGTTCTTTGTGTTCCTTGTGTGCTATAATTAATTTACTTTTGGAGTTACTCTGAAATGTTGAAGCAATACATACATAGATTTAGGCAAGAGATCAGCACCTTCTTTGTGTGATGTATTACTATGCAAACCATTGAAAGAAGCTGTTTCTTAGTGATGGGTATGTAACTTTGGCTTGCTCTTCACCTAGCTGCTAAAGCCACCTGCCTGGTTTTCCTCAGCCGTAACCACTGCAATGCAGATGTTCACACTTCTGAGTTATGTATACTGTTTTTTAGAAAAAAACCTGTGAAAACTTGTAATGAATGTTAATTCTAAATCCAACAGGATTTGAAAGGTTCACTCCTCCAGAGAGAAATGCAAACTGAGAGCGCCTTTTTCACTTAGTAGGTGATAGCTAATGTATTGAAATCAATTTTGAAAGCTTTGTTTGTACCTGTTTGTAGAGAGGATGCAGAAGTAGACAGGCACCAATGTAGTTATAGCTAGGACATATGTCAACATGCTGTTAAAAGGAAGAATGATACACATATAAACAAATTACAAGCATGTGACAGAACTGTTTTTACTGTGGGGACTCTGGAAGGGCAGAAGTCAGCCTTGCAAATTACTGATGTGGATATCATTTTCTGTGAAGTGGTTTGCAGCATCTTTAGCAGGTGTAAATAGGAGTTGATCCAAAGGTGGCATGGAACCCAACGTGTGTGGTTTTTTATACTGTGTTAAAGCAGTCTAAGCTAAAGCCAATGGAAAATTGAAAGCTTTCATTCCGAATTTGCTTGTTTTGGGTTTCACTCTTACTTTAGTAACCTCCAAGTTTCTAGTTCACCTCTAATCACAAGTTTTGCCATTATTGAAGAGATGGACTTTAACTGTAACTTTAATAGCACATGTTCTTTTGCTAACAGTAATTACTGTAAAATGACTTAAGTAGTATTCCTGTCTCTCAAAAAGGATTGTTTCAGATAATTCACTATCAACGCCTGAAAAAAACCCAAACCTGTTCTCAGAAAGCAAGATTCTATAATTAATGCTGCTTGGACCTTCTAACGTTTTTAAAAATCAAGCATGAGTACTCTGCAAATGTCATTATAATGCTGGCTGTATTTGCTGATGAAATTCAAATCTGAATGGTATATGCTCTGATTTCTTTTCAGCACAATGCAGGATGATGTTTTCATTCTACATGAACAGGAATATGATAGTTTGCTCGAATCGGTCTTCAAAACTGAGTTTTTAAGCCTCTTATCAAAACGATATGAAGAGAAAACACAGAGAAAACTACCTCTGAAATTTAGCAATACGTGAGTTACGGTTTTTCAATGGGCTTTTAAGAATAAATAATCTTTGCAAATAAGTGAGTGCTAGTTGTTGAGCTCCTGATACTATGCTTTGTTTTAAAATACTAAGAGGCAGCACGGTGTAAAAATCTGTATGTGCAAGGAGACCAGACTTTCCAATTAGTTCATCAGAGTAGTAGATGAGGATTGTACCTGGGCCATCTGCCGCTTCCCACTCTCTGTGTGCACAGAAGAGTTGCCTTCATTCTGCTGAACGTGGCATCAGGCTCAAGGGTCTGCAGCTTTGTGCTACAGAGCAGCTCTGTGCCAGCAGAGCTTCTGCCCCACAGCAAGGGCCGGGTCAGTCACCGCACAGTTAAGGTGCAGCCATAGTGCAAGCTCTCCATCTCTGTGCTGGCTGCTGTTTCCTATCCTGAGAAGCGAGCATCCTCTTCCAGCTCCTTAATCTTGACCTCGGAGTGGCAACATCATCATGAAGAGTTTGAAAGACAATTCTGGAGACAGAATGTAACAATCTGAAGCTTGTTGGGGGGACAGAAGACTGCAGGGTGAAAGGATGATTCTAAAGAATAGTAGTGGGAACGTTTTTTTAGAAACAAGCCTGAAAAGCTATAGAATGTTTGATGTGCATTTTAGCTGCAAGGACACGCTGGAAACCATCTCAAAAAACATATGCTTTTGTTAATACTCCTACTCGTTAAGCAGATTAGCAACAGCAGGCCTTGGATTTGTATATTATATTTCCTTCAAAAAAGTGGAAGAATTATAAAAGGTAACAGGAGATTATTATTTAAGTTTGGAAAGGGTGTAGGAGGACAGTTGAAGTATGGAACATTCCTGTAGTGTGTAGTCCTGTACATTGGGAATCCAAAGCCAGTACCAGGAGTAAATTATTTTTTTTTTCATGTAAAACTTCTGGGGTCTTGCTCTAAACCAAACCGTAATTTCCTTAGCTTGTATCTGAGTACGATTCAGAGCAGATGGATAGTGTGGAAATGCTGGGAAAGAATATATATATATATATATGTGTGTGCGCGTGTGTGTGTGCACGCACGTATACTTGCACGTGTGTGGAAAAGAATTTAAATTGGAAAGATGGAAGTGTATGTATGCAAAAATGTTTACTGCTGGAACATGCACAAGGCCCACTCCTAAAGCATATATATTGGCATATACATGCCAATGTATATACATATATACACACACACACATCTACTATATCTATACATCTAACGGTATCTACAGAAGAATGTTTAGGAACGGAGCACTCTAGCGTGCTCCAGTAGAGTCTGCTGCAGAGGCAGTGATGTTTGATGGCAGACACATCTCTTACTCAGACCTTTGCATATTTTTCTTCAAAGCGCTCTGGACTCTCCATCCGCTCCAGGGCATCTTAAACTTCCTTTGAGTAGCTCTTCCAGGAATGTTAAAACATCATTTGAGAAGAACATGTAAAAAAAGCATGGAAAAGAGATTTAATTAGGTGGTTTATGTCAGCTAAGTCACTCAGGGAATACAGATTCTCAGGCTAAGCTTTTTGGTTTTATATTTCTAAGTTATCTGCTGCCAAGTGATATTGTCTTCATTTGACATAGAAATGCCTTCTGGTTTTTTATTCATGTGTTCCTGTGCTTACATTAGACTTGAAGTGAAGCTGAAAAAGGAGAGTTGGGGGCCCTGGAGCAGCAGTGGCTCTCGACAAGTGCAATTTATGCAAGGCCAAGGAGATATAGCCATTCTCAAGCCAAGTAATAAAGTGCTACAGATCAGCATCGGACCAGGGCTACCAAAGAATTCCCGTAAGTATGAATTTCCTTCAGAAATTAGTGAATGGTTCAGAAATGTAGAGAATGGTTGACTCTGTCTCCTTGCTTGCCTCCTCTAGCCTCAGCATGAGAAGGCCTCCTCAGCCTGAGAAAGAACATTCTTTGTTATTTCTCTGTAACACTTAAAAGAAGATCCAAGTTATAGATCCTAATGATACAGCTGCATTCCTTGGTGCTCTACAGTCATGCTGGAATTTTGTTACTTTCACTATATACCAATTGTTTCTGAAATGCCTGAAATTCTTTGCCCTGCAGCAAAAGAAATTAGGGCATTTAATCATGTGACATAGTACAAATGGCACAATTAGCCAAGCATTTTGCGGAAGAGTCTTTCACTCTGCTCTGAGCTCCTGCAGTTCCTACAGTCTGCATCAGGACAGGACAGGTTGTGATTTGAGGAAAGGTAACCTACCTCTGTATCACCAAAGATTGAGCTGCAAATATACCAGCCTCTCAGGTTTTGTGTCCTACCTTTCTCTCATGCTAATTGCTGATCAGAAACCATATGGTCAAAAGTACTGCTGTGCCATGGATACATGGTTTATAAACAAGTTCATAAAGCTAATGGTCTTTTGGACCTCATTTACTGTAGTCTTGAGACAGCTTTACTTTATATCCTGTGGCTGAACTGGATCACAAAAGGGAAAATATGCCTAAGTCATCCTTGTTGCACCTAAAGCCTTACAACAACCTGGCCAACACTCTAGGAGTTAGATTCATTCATTCTTCCTGGAGATCAGCTCTTTCTGATCGCAGAGTAGGGGTCTGGAAGCAGGAAGGACTTACCTAATAAACGTAATTGTGAAAGGGTAACAAGCTGTTGCTGGTTTCTTTTAGGTCCTACTAGACGGAACCTTACCCAAAGCAGAGGGTATTCCAACAGGTCTCAAAATCAGACTTATCCTATGAGAGCTGCACCGCCTCCTCCTGGTAAGTCCTCTTGGCCTCAGGCAAAAACCAGAATTTGAAATACAGGCTTTCACTTTACTCTTGTCATCTGGTAATTTTTACTCATTAAAAAAATCATAGTAAAGGTTTAAAATCCTCTTTAAAAGATCCTGTCTGGAAAACATATATTGTAGGCATTTGTGAAGTGTACTGTTGGGAGTCTGCAGACGATCAAACTGGTATTCCACCAGCAATAGTGTGGTTGTCATGGGTGCTGGCATGTTCAGCTACTTCGTATAAGACACTGCATCTAAAACTAACCTCGTAGCCCTCTCCACTTTCCTTTCAAGGGTAAAAGCTATACAGTTATCAAGCCATAGATGATGCTTTGCAATGAAACTGCTTTCAATGCCAGTAAACAGTGGAATGTAATTTATGTCTCATTGTCCCTACCCTGTTACTTTTTTGTATGTTGAATGCTGAGATGTATGAGCTGTGCCAGTGAGCAGCATGGCTTTTTCTGCATGGGATTGAGGTCATTAGGGTGTTTCACTTCTGCCCTTGAGAGATACGATTAATTCAGCTTGTGAACTGTGAGAGCAGAACAGTATTCCATTGACCCAACATTTCCCAAGTGGGTTGTTTTTTTTTTTTTTACTTACACTCCCAGAGTACTTTTTTTTTAACAAAGGGCTCTCTTTCAGTCAGCTGCTGTTTATTGAGGAACACAATGCTAATGGTGTAAGTTGGGTGTGCAACCAGTCTTGGTCACCAAATTAACTGTACAATTCCCAGTCCTCGTAGCTGCAGGATTCAAACTAAGGACTGCATGATCTGCAAGAACTGCTTATAGTAAAGTGGGAAATTACTGTAGTTAAAGGAGTTAACCTGTCTGCAGACACAGACAGTAAATATTCAACAGGATAAGTTAAAGCAAGGAAAGTCTGTTTTAATATTTTCCAAAAGCCTTCAGCAGTTTTATAGCTACACGAAAAAGACAAAAACATCGGTTGAAGAAGCTTTGTGCCTGCAGACCAAGCCCAACTTGTCTCATGTAGGTAAGGTAGTTTGGATATAGGTTTGCACCCAAATCCAAGGCACCAGTCCATGCCCATACCTGCAGTATGGCCTTTCATAATCATGTATCCCTTGGTGCTTATGACAGCTCCCAAAGAGACACATCAACAGAGACTCCTGATTAGAAGAGCCTGCCTCTGTGTGCAGCAAGACACTGGGCTAACTTTCTGCATGGGATTGATGTCATCAGGGTGTTTCACCTCTCACTTAGAAAGAAAAAATTTATTTAGACTGTGAACTCCGAGGAGAGAACAATATTCTGTTGACCCACTATTTCCCAAGTGTTCAACTGCAGAGTTGAACTAGATGTTCACGGACCAGTGGAACCACACTGTAGTGTCCAGGCAGGATAGGTGTAACTACTTAAGTTAAATGTTATGTTGACCCTTACGCATTAGCGTGTATCAGGTTTAAAAGGTGAGTGGAAGTCTTTCATACAGGCCTCAAATCAATTACCATATTTTTTTTGTACAGCGATTTTTTGGTTTTGTGTTGTGGGTTTTTTTTTTTTTTTTTTTAAAACTCAGCCTCCCTTGTAAAGTAGCCAATTATAGCTGGAAAAAATAAGATTGAAGACAGGTGTTACAAAAGTTCCGATTAGACTGTCCAGACTTTCAAGGAGTCCGAGGCAATTGCATGATTTGGGCACATTCCTCCTTTAAAGTCACAAACAGATCTCTCCATCGTGCTCTCACAGTGTGGGGAAGTAACGCTGTGGGCCATCATCCTTGATCATTTGAATTGTATTCTGCTATTTTCACATCTGTTTTGAAATTAATGGTCCAGTAGCTGAACAGACTGTTACATACATGTTCAGAATAAAACAAACCTTTATTGATATAACCATAATGTATGTGCCATACTGGCTTGGGTCCCAAAGTGGGTTTTATGTATGAGTTTATGACTACTTAAGCTCTGCCACAGTATCAAGAGAGTATCAGAAGCAAAGACCAGCTGTTGAATGCAGTAAGGTTTTTCCAAGTGTCATGATTATGAATTCTCCTCTCTGCACAGCTATTCATTCTGCTAATTTTCAACAGGCATAATCACAATGGAAAAAGGAGAGGATCACCTACAGCATTAATATAATATTAAAAATCAGATTGCTTAAATAAATATAATGGGAGCATAGCTCCCATTTTGTTCAGTGGGGGTTTTAGGAACGTAAAGCATGCAGAATTGAGCTCCTTAGACCCTGATCCTGCAAGTAGCTCAGACATAGGTGGGTTTGTTTTAAATTCCAGTTAGAGGCATAGTTATTTAAAGGCATTTACCCTTGTCATCACCTAGAAAATTCAAACTCCTTTTGAGCTATCAAAGTAGCAGCAAGGCTTTTTTTTTGGTAAAAAAAAAACAAAACAAAACAAAACAAAAAAAACCAAAAAACCAAAAAAACAAACACGCAAAAAAAAAAACCCTTGCTTGTTAAAACAGACAAATATTTATAGCAACTTAAAAAATGGTCTACCCAGTATTCAGGGAGTTGGACGGAGTTTGAACTTTAAAAGGAAAAAAGAGACCCCCCAGCAATTCTAGCTAGCTTTAGATCAACCCTTATCTGGATAAAATTTTATGCAGTGTTTTATATAGGGGTGTGGTGGTTACATGCTAGCTGACATTAATAAGGTTAAATTCAGCTGAGACCTAATCCTCTTGCTTGCTTGTAACACTCAAAGCACATGTCTCAGACTTGAGCACAAGTCTGTGAAGACGTGAACCCAAAATAGATCACCAGCAGACCTGAAACTGTGTATAAATCAAACTTTAAAATTTCAACATTATTTTGTTTTCAAGTTCCTTGATAGCTGAGTCTCGCTGACAGCTGAATCTAACTGACAGCTGAGCCATCAACACAAGGAAAAGGTTACCTTTATTGAGCTGTAGTTGTGACTGGATGTGTTCACACTTTATTTACTTTTAGGTCAGCAGCAAAATGGAGTAATAAATCCCCCACAGTCTGTACCACTTCCCCATCTCCCAGGAAATCAACGAGGCAATCAGAAAAACCTGTATACAAATATGACACGACCAACTTTACCACGGCAACTGTCAGGAGGATCAGGCAAGGTTTCACAGCAACCAGAAAGCTTGGATTTCCTGAAAGTACCTGACCAAGGAGCAGCTGGGTAAGATTTTACATTAAATCTGAGAGAAAAGTGTTGATTTTTGTAAATAGCTTCACACATTCAAACTGTTCATGACTGATACTTATCTTGTATATCCGATTCATAGATGACCAGAGTGTGCTATTGAGCTGTACTCAAAGGTATCATCTTCCATAGGATTTCAACCCACATATTTCATCATAGGCCTTTAGGAGTGAAGGTGAACAAGTTCTAGTTTAATATCTTAAACTTGCATGGTATCTTCTACTTAAGGATATTAAGATACTTGGCAGAGTTTAACTAGGCCTTCTTTCCCATCTGGTTTACAGATCATAAACAGTAGATGTGGTATTTTATGGCAACTGTCATGCCCAGAAATGCTGGCTAATAGTCCTTTTGTTTCAGCGTTGACTCCTGACTCATATACCAGACTTGTACTTCTTTTTAGGAGGAAGGCTTGGCAGCATGACATTCGAGATTATTTCAGCATCATTTGGACTTCTAAGCTTCAGCTTTCCAGAATATGTTGCTATGACAATCCTACAAGATGTGGGGGTGGGTGGCTGAGTGTTATTGTTATAACTAGGTATTTCCCAGTAGCCGAGAGTCAAAAGCATCAGAACAAGCAGAAAGACAGAACCAAGAAAGCAGGAGCTCAATAGAGGGAAGCAGAACAAGTTGTTCTCAATGCTGAAACCAGCTGCTCCAGACCTTGAGTGAAAATCCAGAAGTAGGCAAAACCTCTGATTTGTGGAAATCATGGAGACAGAAGTCTTCTCCCAAATATTTATGGGACCTTAGTGCTCCAGAATGTTAAAGGCCTTACAAAATTTTAAGTTTTTCAGTGACTGAACAGATTCTACTTGTAACTCAGCCCTTATATTCCACTCTCCTGTAGAACATTAGTGGAGCTTTACTATAGTGGGAATTTGATTATTTGTCAAAGATTATAGCAAAAAAATCTAGATATAAAATAATTCTAGCAAAAAAAAAGGAAGAACATCTGGTTTTGAATAATCAATTTGTGTTTCTCCTTGCTGATGACTTTCTATTTGTGTGATTTAATTCTGATGTAACCAAGTCTCAGAAAAATTACTATTAGTAACAGCTAGTTGTCCCAGAGCATTAGCAGATACAATAAAAATCCACTGTAGTAAGGTATAACAACTTTGCATAGTAATGGTTAGTGCAGACACAATTCTACAGTCCACATCCCTTCAAGTAAACAATACATGATAAATACCTCCTTGTTCAGTAGGAAAGCCCTATGTACATTGAACAAGCCATCATTCTTGTATCTCTGTCCAAATAATATTGAGGGGAAAAACAAGAGAAAATTCAGACTTTTC